TGGCAGGTCACCTGCCACATGGTGATTCAGGGACCCAGGTTCCTTCCATCTTGTGGCTCTGCCCTGCAGACCTGTGCTTCTAGACGACAGGTAGAGACGGGAATGTGAATGTTTTTTACCTGCGTTGGCCCAGTGGCGATCCATCACTGCTGCTCATATTCCCACTGCCAAGATGTGGTGACACAGGCATAGCCAGGCATGGGGCTGGAGACTGGGAAACAGTCCATGAGAGACAGTGGCTTTTCAGCAACAACTCTATAGGAAAGCAGGACTCTTGAGAGGACAGTTAGTCCCCTCTGTCATACCTCCGAAGACTCAGGGTCCCCAAACTCCCTGTCCCTGCCCTATCTTCACAGCAAGCCCCAAATCGATTCTCATTTCTACCAGGATGTTATACATCAGCAGTTCAACAACTAAGTTGACGTCTCCTTTGTACCGTTATGTTATTGTAACAGTGTCACAGCGACATGGAAAGGAACAGAAGGCAGAAGAGGAATACAATTTACTTCGTCCTGTGCCCCTGATTTTAGCTATTTTAACAGCTCACACTCTGCCGTATCCAATGGGTGGCTCCCGTGGCACTTTGGCGGATCTTCCAGTTCAGCCAGAAGGCGGTGTATTTGACAGAAGCTGCGGTTACGCAGGCTCCATTCCCCCACCCGAGCGTAACTGGGCCCGTGCAGATATTTCTGAATTGAAAGGTCAACCTCTGCTTGGACAGAGGAACCGGGTCTTGTCTGCATTTGTTTCTGGTCAAAACAGGAAGTGCATACCCTATTTTTCAAAATGTGTTAGCATTTTTAAAACGCAAAGCACCGTGGCTCACGCGGTGATTCAGCCCCGGGGAAGCTGTGGAAGCTGCGAGTCTCTCTCAGGGTCTGTTCCCTGCTCCGTGTCCTCTCGCCGTCACCGGCTCTCTTCTGTGGAGAGTTCTGGAGGCTGACTCAGGCGACGGGCACACGGCGTGGCGACTGCACTGGTCCTTGCCCACTGGCCCGTCCCAGCCTTGGGGGGCGCAGTGGGACAGAGCCTGAAGACACGTGAGGTCACGCTGAATTTGGAGACCTCCAATCCAGCTCTGCCTCTTACCAGTCAGAAGCCCTTCAGCAAATCACGATCTCTCTCAACTTCCATTTTCTCATTAAAAGGGACTGGGCGACCATAACAGGTGATCGGAAACAGCAATGACGATAAAACCCCAAGCTGCACCGGACCTTACAGTGTCCAAAGCAGACACGCCTACGACTTTACGCCTTTGACTTTACGCCTTTGCTTCGTGAAACCAGCAGACGATTTATTGAGGGGACCCTGTTATGTCGTCACAACCTGCAACAGCTCACGAGCAGTCAGTGTAGATGGAAATGTGTAATGAGAACTTTTTCCTGACCGTGTTTTGTAGAAGTCAGTGTTGAGGATGATGAGAATGGTGATTCGTCGGGCTCAAAACCCAGAAGGTTCTAGTTGATAAATGAAGCATAAAACACTCTATTGTACACCCAAATCCTTCCTCATTTCACTAGCTTCAATACATGAACATTTTCCACTAAATAACATTTCATGTTCATTTGCATTCTATCGGTCTTATCGTTTTATCTGCACTGAATTTTAAATGCGTTTTTGGTTTTATAATTGTATGGGAGCATCACTTTATGTTTGCACATATTTGGATTATGTAAGAATAGTTTAGTTCAACACTAACATTTTGAAGATGAGTGTATCACTTGAAGCGGAGACAAAACACTGCATCGTGTCTGTCCATGTAACACATGCTGTCAATCCCGAGGCATTCGTCTATACGGGTACCATAAACTGATTTCTGAGGAGAGTCCAGGCAAAAACTATTTAACTAAGAACGCATCTTCATTCTCTTTGGTGTGCTGCATGGAAGTACATAAACTTTTGTCCAGAACTCAGCCTCCATAAGTCAGAGGCGAGCCACCTCACTCAACCAATTTATTTTTAGGATAACCCTGAAATATGAATCAAAAAGACGGAACAAAAGCGAAAACTGTCCACCACACTGGAAGGAAAAATATGAAGTTCCCAAATGAATGTTATTTGAAAATACAAACCATTTCTTCTTCGCTTGGCTCTGTCATTCATCTCGGAAAAGAATGTTTTTACAATCAGAGCAGAAATATGACCGGCCGCCTGCATTTACATTTCTTTGTTGCAAAATGAATGTAACTTGTTCGGATTCCAGCAGTGGAGAAAGGGGCAGAAGCGGTGGTTACTTTCCAAAGTGAAACTTAAAACCACAATCTCCGGTGCACAAAAGGCAGAATGAGTCACCGGAAGAGGCCACTTGCTTGCAAAACTCATTAAAAGCAATGCAGGGCTGAATGAACTTCCTGCCCCAGTGAAAACATCGCTGGCATCAGGACAGCACCTCCAAGCTCCAATAGTTTGGGAGAGGAAGGAAGCCATCAGAAATGGGGGCACAGCCCAGGTCTGCTGATTCACATGCACTCAGCTGCCCCAGCCGGTCAGACGAAGTCCCCTCCCAGCCAGGACCAGCTCCCGCTGAGATGCCCCCGGCTGGCAGCTGTGCATCAAAGGCTCAGGACACTTTGTGACTAATCGTGTCCCCCGCCCCCTCCCCGCCCTGTATTGGGTTTCCAGGGGCCTCCCTCCTTCACCTGATCCCCGCTGTTGCTCTGCCCACGCCAGATTCAGGTTAGATGTCAGCTGCCACAACACAGAAGCAGCTCCTTGGGGCCGGGACCCGGGCCTCAGGTGTGTCTTCTGGAACTTAAGTGCACATTGGAATCCCAGAGGATTTATTGGCACAGGTGCGGGCCCCTCACCCACAGTTTGATTCGGGAGGCCAAGGGTGGGGCCTGAGCACTTGCATTTCTAACGAGCAACTGAGCTGGGACTGCAGATCCTGAAGACACTTCGAGAACCACAAACCTAAAGTGTTCTCAGACTCGAATGACAAACAGCCTCAAACTGCTCCCTGGCCCGGCCACTAAGTGACATGTGACCTTGAGCTGTGCAAATGGGAGGCATTTTTGGCCCCCAGACAGTCCAGTAAGGAACTCTGCCCCCTCCTCACCAGCCCGCAGCACACCTGGCCCATCTCCAAGGCAAGGGCTGCTGGGGAGAGGCCTTTGTCAATCCCAGACATGTTTTCAAAAGCTGTGCCTCCAAACTCAAAAGGATTGCGCCCCCAGGCGGCCATTCGGGGCCTGTTGCCTTCTAGGGCCAACGTCTGCCTGGTCACTCTGATTTCCTTCGGGCACTAAGCCTGCTTGTGTTAACACTGATACCTCACCACCACCTTCGACTGCAGCAGGAGTCAGAAAGGGGTCAGAAGCAGGAAGGTGACTCTAGTGGCTTCGTTTAGGGCAGAGACCAGACGCCCTCCTGCCACCCCCAGCCCTGCTCCCGGGTAGCCCCGTTAATCTGGAGATAAGATACAGCCGCACAAAGGGAGGCAGGTGAGCAAGCGCCAGGGGTGTGGCCGGGCGCTCCCGGAAGAGCCGGTCGGTCAGGGCAGCCCTCCTGCTGGAACGAGGAAATCTGGACTCCAGAGGAGTTTGCTTTTTAATTTTTCTAAATGAGGCCTGCTGGACTTTCCTCCAAGCCTGTTCTGTCCCAGGCTGGCACCAAGGCCGCACGCGTCACCATCCGTAGGAAAGCCCACGTCGAGACCCAAAGCCGACCATCACTGACCCCGTTGTCAAGGCGCCTTGGGCTCTGATGAGAACGGCTGGCGAGTGTGATGGAGAGGTGGGTGTCGGTTTTGAAAACCCAGATAGAAAATATTTTAAATATTCAGGTGATTGCAGCTGAGACATGGAGAAATTCAAGCTACCAAAATAGTTCCCCCCCCACCCCCAACACACACGTGTGGGAGCTGCCTGCACAGCGCAGTGGAAACGGCATGGCCTAGTGGCACCCCGAGAGGAAGCAGGGGACGGCCAGAGCAGCTGGGGATCCCCAGGCCCAAGGCCGCCGTTTATGCAGATTTTTATTTTACAGATAAGAAGTTAAAATCTGAAATGGAGTTGGAATAAATCTGTGATGTCCAACCAAATGAGAGGGTTGGTTTTGTTTTCAAAGATAGATACGCATTCATTCTACAGACGCCCAGAGATGAACTGTTTGGATCTGGGCTTCAAGCTCAGCCTGGCACCCAGCGTGGCCATCTGTTAAGCGTTTAGGGACCAATCGTCTTACATTTATTCCAAAAACACTTAGGCTGACGCAGGATGTCTCAGGCTTGTCGACGGTGCACAAAATCGATAGGAATTATGACAGTTTTTAAGTGATCCAGGTGAACTAGTCAAGGATTTTGATTGATCTGTTCGAAATGAAAAATGAATCAGGGAGACCGCAGAGAAGCAGGACGCAATCGAGGCAAAGGAAATTGCGTTGTCTATGCTTTTATTTTCTATATATTATTAGTGTCTCGATATCTTAAAAAGCCTTTCTGGCTGGGGAGAGAGTGGCCGGCCATTTCTTAGCGATGATGAAGGGCCCAGCGGGAGGCGCCTGTGACATGCAAGACCTCCTCTCTCTGGCGGGGCACCCCAGGAGCCACTTTTCCTGTGCCTTAATCATCTCAGGGCTAGGTGCCAGGCAACCAGGGGCCAGCCCCATGGCTTAGAGGCCACTGGAATAAGCCAACCCAGCCAATCCTAACCTGTCCACCCTGCCCTGCCTTTCCTGTGGAAACCCCAGGAAGGCCTAGGCCCCGCCCCTCGCCCGTCGTCGGCCTCCTGACCACCCCGTTGCTTCCCCTCATGGCCCGTGTGGTGAGCTGTGAGTATAACAAACTTGGTTTCCCTGAGCATCTCCTGTGTCTTGTCTCATGGCCGCATCGGATTGGCTACCGCATAAAAGGCCACTGCACAGAACCTGCCTGTGTAATAGCCGCGTGGGAAACGCTGACTTTGGTCCAGGGCCGCTCTGAGCCAGACCATCGGGTAGGACGCGCCCCGGGCTCCTCCCCTCTTCCCACCAAATGCATACAGAGGGTCGGTATTTTACCAAAAGCATAAGACTGGCTCTTTTATTCCAAATATTGAACAGTTCATAGCCTTAGCTTTTTTTTTTTTTTTTTTTGAGAATAAAATACGCTTGATTATAACACACCAGAAAATCAGCAACTTAACCTCCTACCAAAAACCATTTAAAATTCACACATCTGATTTTCAGGCTTTCATCGTTCTCATTTATTACAGTATTTTGTAGCTTTGCATCCAACACAACGCAGTGAAGTATTACAGTGATTTTCTTCACGGCGCCAGCCAACACACATACAGATCAAGTGTGGTAAATAAACTATATTTAAAGTAGTGATCCAAACCTAAAACTATAAAGAGATTTCTCTCTGAAGGTGTGATCATTCCTCCAGGTACCAGGTATGTATATTTTTCTTCGTCACCTACGGTGAACGCTTGGTGACCTGTCACTATAGTGATTCATTTCTGTAGAACAACTTTGAAATGCAGGGTCCACAGGCAGCACTCTGGCACGTGACCGTGGGGTTACTGGGTCACAGATGTGTAAATACAGATAAACCAGCTCAGATATGTGTGAGTGCCGCCCACGTACGAACCTCGCTTTGCAAAGTCAAAGGCAGGGGTGACAATTACAGCCTCTCTGGGGGCCACACTCAGAACCTGGCACAGATCTGAGTCGGACTTTCTGGAAGAGGTGTCTGGCTCAGAGCACCGCAGTACGGAGGCTGACGATGCATGCTCACACCTGCATGGACCGTGGATGACAGCTGCTTGTCCTGACGAAGGCCAAATGGCACTACGGACACACTACCCCATCACAGCCGATTTCCTCCCAGCAAGGAGGGGACTCTGTCAGCCTCTGCAAACTTATACTTAGTTCACAAAATCCACCCTAAGACACCGTCGTGATAGAAAGAACTCACGAAGCCCAGAGTAGTGGAGGCGAGACTATTCTGAATTATTTTTCATGCCTCCAAAAGGGCATCTGCCCATGCGTGTCTGTGCTCATGTGCCAAAGTGTGATGGACGACACACGAATATTTGTCTTCCTCTGGGTGGTTCAGAAAAGACCCTCACCGCTAACAGAGACCACCGACAGCACCGAGGCAACACCTCTGCAAATTCTTTCACAGAAAGAGTAAAATTGCAGTCAACATTTCCTTTTTTTTTTTTGCCTCCTATCACGCTAACAATGCAATTGAAATAGAAAAGCATTTCAATCACTGAAGTAAAATGCTCTTTAGAAAAATAATACTTCAAAAAGTAAAGCAAAATCTTTTACCAAAATAATTCTTTCACTTTTCAAATTGTTCTCTCCACAAGCTAGCCTGATAAACAACTAAGAGAATCATCACCTAGCGGCTTAAAGCATGTCACTCAAATTATCACTTATCCACCTGCCCTTGAGTAGAAAAAGCTAAAGAAAATAAAGTGTTACTCACAAATCTCAAAAGCAGGCCAGTGTTGGGAGAGATATATATATATAATAAGGCTCTTTGGGTAGTCTAATGTATACCTTTTTAATATATCAGTGACCGAATAAAAAAAGTATGGCTAATATGCTTATAATGGTAACCCAAAGTAATAAATAATAATATCTACACAGAATATAATTTAACTTCTTGAAACTGTTTTCTTAAAAACTAACCTGTTTCTTCTTTTGCGAGCTTCCAATTAAAATCGACGACATTATCATTTGGCGTCAGCTCTGTTCAAGGCCACCTTCTCGGCCCTACCTTTCTGGATAAAAGGCTGGGGCGCAGCGTTGAACTGATCCAAATACTGCCTCTGTAGTAATATTTACTGTAATCTGAACTTAAGGCATTGCAAAGTTACAGAGAGCCAGACAAAGCACATTCTAAATAAAATGTCTGCCACAGATGCATTAAGGCATAAGTACTCCAGCCTCGAGCCACAAAAAAAGGGGGCGGAGGTGCCGATTACATAGGTTATCTTTAACCAAAGGAATTCAAGAACTTATCACCTAAAAATTAGACCCGTCGGCAAATACTGCATAGGAACCTCCAGCGAGGACAAGGCCCAGAGCAGTGAGGGCTGGAGGCCCCGCGGGGACCTGATGCGGGTCACGTGACGCCGCACGCTCCGCCCCCCCCCACGCACGCGCAGAGAAGTCACGGAAGCCCGTCCCCCGCTCTGCCGGAAGTCACGCGCACCTGGCGTTCCGGCCGCTGGTACCACCCCCGCTCGGCCCACGCTGCCCGGCCGGCATCGCCGCTGGCTCCCGCCACGACCGCGGGCGCCTCGCGCAGCATGAAAGCAGCCGACTGCCCGCCTGCAAAGCAGCCCTTCGTGTTCCACTCGCGGAGGTCAAGGCCGGGGCAGCGGGGAAGGGGCGGACGCGCGTCAGCTCTCACTGCTCTCAAGCAAGTGACCGCGCGCCAGGGTCCTGGGCGCCGCCGCCGGCTCCCCGGGCCTGCCCCCTCGCGGGGGGCCGGTCTGCACACGTCGGGGTCAGCAGGTTGCTGGGAGCACGTCACGCCGACGCAGAGTGAACATCCTGGTTTTCGAAAGGTGGCAGCGGCTCCCTCCAGAAGGTGAAGTTGCTGAAAGTGTCTGAGCAGGGGAAGTCCGAGGAGTGGCTTCGCTTCAGCAACGGGAAGACGTGGTCCACCACTTCGCAGAGTCTCACGTACCTGGAAGGAGACGGACAACGTCATGGCCTCTGACGACGCCCCGCCCCCTGCGCTGTGCCTGGGGAGTCAGGAGGAACCCGCGCCCCCGAAAGGCACGCACCTGGGGGTCAACACACGGAGGGGGTCCTAGAATAAGCCCTCGCTAACGAATAGGAAATCACATGGTGCGGCCAGCAGAAGTCAGAGAGGGCGAGGCAAGCGAGAACTGACTTCGCATGAAGGGCCGAGGAGGGCAGAGCGAAGCGAAAGAGGACAGGAAGAAGTCGGCATGGCAGGGGGACGGCCACCCGCCAGAGTGCACGGGTGGGCAGCAGATCCCAGAGCCTCAGACTGAGACTGCTTCACTGTGTGAGGAGAAGACCCTGGGCCCTGAGGCTGAGGGGACCCGCACTGGACCTTCTGCCATGTACGAGCCGTGTGATCCTGGACACAGGGCTTCGTCTCTCTAAGCCACAATCTCGGCTGTAAAGGAAGGAAATGAACACTGCTACAGCGTTCATGGGAGAATTAAATAATGTATGCAACAGAGAAATAATGCATACTGGATGTTCAATAAACTTACTCGACGATAAATTATTAACATCAGGAAATCATTATCCCCGGCGAAATATTAGCCATGGGAAGTATAAAGCCCTCACTGGCATGGCGGTCGAGAGACCTGGGGTCTCCCCGCATCTTGCTGCTGTGGGACCTGGGGCAAGTGTCTCGTCCTCTCTGGGCCTCAGGCCCTTCATTCTTCTAGACAGTGGGGTTGAACCAGTTCAGGGCTTCTCAACGCTCCCAGCAACTCCCTCGCTCTATTTCCTGTATCCTCCTCCCAAGAGGTCATTGCATATTAGTGTCTGTGGCCCACACTACAAACACAGACCCGCTGTATGAATATGCATGTTCAGACCTCGGGATGTCTCCCACCAGAAACGTGACAGGCCCAGGCCCCTCCTCCTGTCCCCAGGGTCCTCCCTCACATTCGCTGGGTCCCTCTCCAGTTCCAATTCGCTAAGAGCCGAAAGGGGCTTCCCGAAAATCCAAACTCCAGGAATTAGTCGTTCCGAGGCACAAAATGATTAAATAAGGATGCGCGTGTGTGTTTAATAAAGAACCTCCAAAGGGCTTCTGAGGAACGTCATGCTTGCACAAAACGGAAAACATCTCTCAACGAGCAAAAATTATGTCTTTCCTGAGAACTAAGACAAATGTTGGGAAAACCTGGCTTTAAGACCTACTTGTTTGAGTTTCGTGGCTAAGGGAGGTGGCTGTCCCTACAGGCCGCAGTTCACCACTCACCACCAGGGCGTGGTGGCACCAACTCCAAACCCTTGCAGCAGAAGGCTGTGCTCCAGCTCCAGCAGGGGGCCTTGCTCAGAACCACTGTCCCCCACACAGGCCCAGCCCGACAGGGGCCCCCAAGCCTCTGAAGACGGTTCAGACGACCTCTCAGAGATAGCGTCCCACCCACGTGCCTGGGACACAGCTCCCTGCCAGGTGTGCCAGCCAGGTGTGCCATTGTGGGGAAGGAGAGCAGAGAGCCAGTCCTTCGTGAGAACGGCCGCAGTCCCCAGCCAAGGTGCGAGACCACAACTCTGTGTGGCAATGCACAAAGCTTCCTCCCACGCCGAGCTCCACCCCAGGCCGAGACTCGGGCAGGACGTGCATTTTAAACCTAGATTCTCAGCCAGTGGGATAACCCCAGAGGCCTCCTGGGCAAACCCACAAAGATGCTGGAATCCCCTTCCAGACCCCTTATGATAGGACCCGCCACATGGCTACTGCCTGGTGGAAACCTTTGTCCTTTCTGGGCAGTGTCCTGTCGGTTGAGACTTCTTTTTGACCCTAAATAAAAGTCCACTAGATCTTCTCCAGACTGAGGAGAGCCTGTCCTGGGCTGGGGAAGAGGGAGCTGTGGCGTCGTCAGGGGTGGCCGCTCAGAACCCGGGACAGGGAAGAAACCGCTAGGGGAGGGTGGACAGCAGAATCGGTTCCTGCTGCTATTCCGACACTGGCCTGTGTAAGCTGGTCAGACCCTAGCTCGTGTAAGGAGTGTCCTGGAAGTGAACATCTGCTCTGGGACCCACATCTCTGGTCCACCTGAAATACAGGATGCGCCTGGAGAAGACCCATCCTCACCCTGGCCAGCTCCTCCCCTGGGGTTGCCGGGGCCAGAGGCAGTCATCCAGGTCTGCACAGACCGAGCCAGGAGAGGGGCGGCCTCCGAAATGGACAAGGCAGAATGGCACCTGCCTGCCTGGTGTCACCCAGCTGGCAAAGCTCCCAACACATGGGATGAGGAAACGTTCTCCGTTCTAAGACATTAGGAGCCCAAAGGAGACAGCACCCAAGTCAAGAGAGAGTCTACAGCCCAGCAGGACGCCTCGTTACAAACTCACTGCCTCCGGGAGCCCGGGCTGCGGGCGGGATTCTTACAATTGCTCAGCAGCGTTTCCAGAGAGGCCACGATGGGCCAGAATGTAAAGAGACGTACCGTTCCTCATCTTCAAATACAGTGTCACGTGATATTTCAGTTTGGTCACATTTTTAATTCGCATTCTAGGCTTTCAAACCTCACTTGGCACATCGAAACCAAGTTCATGTACTTCCACTCTGTAGCAGAATATAACCACGAATTTAAAAATTCGACCCAGAGGGGATCTGATTTAAAATTCGGTTTGGGACAAAATACAAGGAGTTAAAATATATTTTCCTCATAGGAATTCAAGATTAAAATATAGGCAACAAAGGGCCAAACGGTGCGCCGTAAACAGTAAAAGACCATTTCAGGACCGCGACACTACCAGCGGGGGTGACGCCCCGGTGACGCCAGCGCATGCGGGGACACTCACGAGGAGATGTTGGTCTTGGCATGCTCCTGCACGAGTTCTCCTTTGGGATTGACAGTGAATATTCTGTTCAAAGACACTCCTACTTGCTTGTACGAGTACACGTCCTGTGTTTGAAAAGTGAAAGGAAAACAGAGTTGAACGTAAATACGGACACACGACCTCTGGGATTTGATGCAATTACTACGACACCTTCGTTGACCAGAACTGTCCTTCCAACTGGTGTAGAAAGACTCTCTCTGAGTGTGGAACGATCAGGTCAGTTTTCCCATCTGCGCAGGAGCTGAGCGAGAGAGTGGACCACCCACCTTGCCCCCTGCAATCCCAGCATCCCTTAAGGGTATCATCCGACCCGTTTGCTTGGGCATGAGTTTCAAAAGTAGAGTTTTCTCACTGGAAAGTTAGCACATTGGGGCGGTACATGCAAAATCTCAGGGCGTTTCTTTCGCCACATGAAACAATACGGAAGTCCCCCCTTAGCCACGGGAGACATGTTCCAAGACCCTTGTGAGTACCTGAAATTGCAGATAGTACTGAATCCTACATTTCCTATCTTTTTTCCTATACATAAAATTTAATTTATAAATTGGACACAGTAGGCGATTAACAACAATAAGGGATAAATAGTAAAATAGGACAACTATTACAATATACTGTAATAAAAGTTATGTGAACATGGCATTAGTAAGTCAAATGAGGGTGACTTGGACTCAAGCACTGCAATACCAGGCCCGCCGATCTCTCAGTGACGGCTACTCGGTGACCAAACCGACAGGCGGGGAGCGTCTGCCATGTGGATTCGCTGGACAAAGGGACGATTCGCCCTGGGTTGGGCGGAGTGCAACCTCCTGAGACTTCGTGGCCCTACTCCAAATGATGCACGAGTTAAAACCGATGCATTGTTTACTTCTGGAATCTTCCATTTAATCTTTTCAGACTATGGTTGACCGCGAGTAACTGAAACCACGGATGAGGGGGTCCAGCTGTACCCTTGAAACCTGCGGTGCTGAATTCACCACTGTGCTAAGAACCGGCTTTGTGGCTCCGTTCTGGGAGGGAAGGTCTACCCCCTTTCAGTGTTCTTGTTTTACTGACTTAGCAAGTTATTCGGAGTTCGATGTTTCTAGGCCCATAGTTCATGCTTCAAACTAAAGCTCACTCGCCGACCTTCAGCGTAAACAGGCCATGAAATAATCTGCAAGCTCCTGGCCTTTACGTGCAGGCAAATGGCTCTTTACCAGCTCCTTCTAGCAGGATTAAGAGTCCAGCCCACATACAGCCCAGGCCAGCCTTTGGGATGACTGCTGTCGGCAAAACGGGAATTCCCAGAGCTGTGACGTGCACCCCCTACTACTTACAGCCTGTCGGTTTCCAAAAGCAGCATAGAAGGGTTCTGTGTTTGGAAAAAACAGGTTTTTGATGTCTGTCAAACACTGGACTTTAAACTTTTCTGGCTTCTTTTCAATCACTTCTCTGTTAAAACAAACAAATAATGGATCGGCGTGAGGGGTTAAGCTTCATTAGTATCAAACTGTTTTTAACTGTCAAAGGTGGGGTGACACTGAGAACGTGCTCATCTCTGTGGGTTAAAAACGTGTAAGTCAACTCGGCTGTTCCAGAAAAGCTCAACAGAAGGGGGATCCATGCTTCAAATCTCTGCACGTAGAAAACACCGAGGACGAGTGATTTCACCAAAGGCCTGCACCAGTCCCAAGGAGCACAGAACTCCAGAGCAGAGAGAGAGAGAGCATCTCCCAACTCGTTTCCTGAGTCTACATAACCTCAAAATCAAAACCGAAAGGAGAAACATATCGGCAAATCTCATTCGTGAATGCCCATGTGAAAATTCTAAATAATCTGAAAACTTCCCAGAAACATGGTAGGGAAGACCTAAACAAAGGAAGAAACACATTGTTTAACTGAACTGGAAGACTCGATGTCATAAGGAAATGTTAACTCTCCCTAAACGGATCTATAGATACATTGTAATTTCAATTAGACGCTTGACAGGGTTTTGTCTGTATGATTTCATGGGACTCAATTCTAATGGCTACAGAAAAAGGCAAAGGCCAGAAGCGGAAACATATCCGCAGACACTTGAGGTATGACCACAGCGACAAGTCAAAGCAGGGGAAAGGGCAGTCTCCCCAGTAAATGGCGCTGCAACAACTGAATACCCCTATAAAGAGAAAAAGAGAAAGAAAATGGACCGCTGCTGACTCTGCATACAAAAATCAGTTCCAGGTGGGTTATAGGCCTCAATGAAAGGACAACACATTTAGATAACACATAGGAGACTATCTTTATGCCCACAGGTCGGGGAAGGCTTTTTTAATACACACAAAAAGGTACGAGCTACAGTAGAAATGACACATTCAACGACATGAAACAGAAAATATATATGTTCATCGAAAGCCACGAACTGGAGAAAGATACTTGCGGCACTTGTCACAAAAGCTGCATGTACAGGATCCATCGCACACGCTTACACATCAAAAACTGGAGGAAATACTTCAGCAGGCACTTCACAGAAAATGAAGCCCAGACAGCCAACGGACATTCGAAGAGAGACGCTTCGTGCCCACCAGACTAGCGACAATGCAGACAGCTGACGACGTGCTGACCCGTGCTGACAGGGAACGGAACACGCGCACACGCCGCTGCGGGCGCATGGACCGGTCCGACTACCCTGGAAGACAGCTTGGAACGGCCTGATTCAGCTGCAGGTGTGCACACTCGACGGCCCAGCAAGCTCGCTCCTGAGCATGTGCCCTGGAGCGACTGCTGCACAGGTGTCCCCAGAGGACACGCACGGAAGTACCGCTTTTAACAGCAAAAAACTGGAAACGACTCACGTCCCCAGCAACAGGACGGTAGAGTCATCTGTCAGGACACCACGCAGAAGTAAAAATGAGTGGGCTGCGGTGACACTCAGCAATCCTGGGGATGTAACGCTGAGTGGACAAAAAGCAAATTCCGGGAGAGCATGTGATGCGTTTATATAAAGTGCACGCGTGTGCACAATTGAACGTACTGTTTAGGATTACGGATACATGTGCTAAAAAACTATTAGGACAACGGTAACCATGACTGCCGAGGGGGCAGGGACGAGAGCAACTGGGACTTCAGATGTGATGACACGCCCTTTTGCTTATGGGAACACTGGTGTCCACTGTTTGGTTATCCTTCATACCCTGCATATATTTTAGAAATATTCTCTGTACTCATTCGAAACGTAATTTAGACGATGATGATGGGGTGGTGATGATGATGGGGTGATGATGATGAGATGGAGCACTGAACTGAGTGTCAAAAGACCCGAGGGCTGGTCCTGCCTCGGAGCTGACTTGTGCGGACGCCAGGGCTGTCTCTCACACTAAGAACCTTGTATTTTACATCTCAGGACTCACAGATGAACGTGTGAGTGACTGTATGATTTTTTTAGACATAATTGACATACGACACTACTAATTTTAGGTGCCCACCAGAATAATTTCCTATACATTGCACAGCAATCCCCACACTTAGTCTAGTTAACATCCTTCACCACACACAGTCACAATTCCTTTTTCTTACGATGAGAACTTTTAAAATCTACTCTCCTAGCAATGATCGTATGAATTTTAAGTCTCAAACTTCAAGGCACTGGGGGAAAATTGTCCAAATTCAACTTCCTGCTTCTCTCTCTCCCTCCTTCCCCCTCCCCCTACACACACACACACACACACACACACACACACACACGTAGTTGCCTAACTAATTCCAGAAGTTCAAATCCTCCCAGTGACCCAGTCATGGGAACTAGCAAAGGCTAATCTGTGCAACACTGCCTGTCTATCAGCTCAGCTCATCAGTGACAGCCTCCATCCCATGAGACTGGAGCCATACACGTTAGGAATGTGCTTTACACTAAGAGAAGGTTTATGTGAAAATGACCTGAACAGCTTTGCCACAACAAAACAGGGCAGGTAACGAAAGAGAATCTCAGGACTCAACACCAATTTCTATCTTAATAGGAGAAGCTCATGAACCAAAGATTAGGTGTGTGAAACAGATTCTCTCGACTTCTTTCCAACACATTTCCTAGAATTTTAGCATCTTAGACCCGAAAGGCACCCCGGAGATCTCTAATCTGACCCTGTCACTTGGCAGTTAAGGGAACAGGCCCAGGAAGGGGCTGCCCCTGCTCGTCACACCGTTAGAGTCCCAAGCATCGTCAGCCGTGGGGCTCCAGGTCCCCACCTCAGGACCCTGGCTGCAGCTCACGCTGGCGCTTACCTTCGCTGGCCGTGCTCCACGCACACCCACCCATGACATTTTTTCTTTCCTTTCAGTTTAAGCTCAGGCCGCATATTCAGAACTGACCCAATTAAAGTGTCTTGCTAGGGGAGGTCATCCATGCTCATGGCAGACTCAGCCACCGACGCTACGACATCTGCAGGACGGCTAACACAGAGAACGGCCCTGGCTAGAACGCGGGGCTCGGCAGGACAGGCTGTGGGCCGTGGCCGCTGGGAGCACCAACCGCGAGGTTTAGCTTCCTTTTCTTCAGTAATTCCTCTCGAGGAAAAAGTAATAGATCTTGGACAATGATATTTAAGGAAAATCTAAAAAGGATCATCTTACATTATTAGTGGTAGGATGTTATAGTACAAATACCAACTTTGTACTCTGCCTAGCAAAACCTCGGTACTTAACGTATGCTAATCAGCAGCCGGTTGCAAACTGTCAACACAACTCAGAGACGTTTCAGTAACATATCTGGATCACTTAATCACTTCATTAAAGTATGTGGATTTCTGTTGGGATCTACAGATATGACAGCTCTCGGGACTTGAAATACACTATGGCACCCACAGGTTTCACCTGAATTATCTCCCCAGATGTGCAATTTTCAAGTAAGATCTCTCCCTACAGGAAAAAAAATCACCACTCGCACAAAACAAAGCTGTGATGGAAAAAGTCGCTACAGAGCTGAGGAAATACTCAGGAGAGTCAGCGGGGTATCCTGGGCCCGTCTGGACTTTCCACTGTTTGTATGACCGCAACTGAGGCAAAATCAGTCCAAGCTTTCCACTGGATGTTCGAGACACAACCGAGACACAGCCCTAAGATACCCACCACAGCGGTTTGACCACAGCGGGTTGGCTTTGAGAACGTCCTGGGAACTGCCCGGCCCCGAGCTGCGGAGAAGCCCGCATTTCCCTCCCCCTACCCAGGAGGCCAGAGTTTGGCTAGTGGTCTGTGAGAGGTCCATAAAGTGAACAGCGTGACCAGAACTCCCACACAGGACGCGTGTCATGGAAGTCCAAGGCCAGGCTGCCGAAGGTGGCTGGCAGAGGGCCACCGAACGCAGCCTGGGCCCCCAGTTCGGTGGAATGCAAGGTGAGTCTTTAAGACTCAGCCGGGCGATGCAGAGGGGGAGCAGCACGTGCAAAGGCTCAAAAGGGAGAACTTCT